TTTTTTTTTTTTTTTTTTTTGCCCAGGGTTTTCCTGAAACGTAAGTCCAAAGTGATCCTTCTCCAAGAGATTGAGGTGTTCACACACTGTGTCAAATAACACTTGTCCCTTATCAGCTGTATGTAGTAGTCACAGCTATATCTGGTACTATCTAAGAGGATTGCTTTTACACTGGACAGTTTTGGTCTTCTTGGTGGCTTTTTGAGAGGCCTTCTCTGCTTTTAGCTCATTGGTTTGCACTTTCTTGGTCTCTCATTTTGCTGCTGCTCCTTCTGATTTGTCTTTCTGTATTTCCTTTACCTTCTCCTCTTCTCTCTCCTTACTTACTAATTCAGCAGTTTGTCTCTCAGCTCTGCTTATGGAAGATTTTCCTTCCTTGACGTCAACCTTAATCTCCAGTTGGCTTCCTCTGAGCTACTTCTTCAGCATCACCCTTGGCCTGTCTCTTTTCTTCTGGAAGGGGTTCCTCTTTATCTAAGACCTGTTCTTCCGTAGCTGCATGGGTAGGTTCTTTTTTATCTCCTCCATTTTTGGCCACTAATAAGTGACTTTTGTTTCTTTAGCCAAGGGTGTATGAACTGAGAAATACCCCTTCTCTTAGATGACTCCTTCTGTGTCTTCTGGCAGTGTATACTACTTTGGCTTTAAGCTGCAGAAGATGGCTGGGAACCTTGCTCCTCAGGATCAGATGGCTGATTCTGTTGGTTTGCTGCTACTTTGGGTTGCTCCTTGGTTACATCTGCTAACTGGTCAGAGTCCTTCTTCACTTAAGATGCAGAGCCTTCTTTAGTAGTTATGTTTATAGCTTATGCAGGCCCAAGATGTCATTGGAAGATGGAGAAGCACGAGGACCCCAGAAAGTTGTCCGCTGGAAGACAAACCTCCAAAGCAGCCCTTCCTGTGAAGTCACTCTCTGCAGCTTACCTCCTTGTTCTGGAATTGCAGGGAGTCTCTTTAGTTGTTCTCTGGGTAATGGCAGAACCCAGCATGGAGAGAAGGCAAGCTGGCCTCAATGCCCTGACGCAATGCTCCTGATGCTCTCCATGGAACTCCTTGCAGTTCTTCTGCCAAGAGGTGGAGAGAGTGGGGTTGCAGAAGCAAATGGTGTGGGTGGCTGGCATGACCAGCAGTTTCTTGTCCATCCACTGGGCCCAAGTCAGTAAGGGGCTTCTCCTTGCCTGCCCCACCCCAGGTGGCCCAGGGGCTCAGCCCACACAACCTGACAATGGGCATCTATAGAAAACCTGCGATGCATTGCATGCCGCTTGGCTGCAGTTCCCTCTTGTGCGCCTGCTGAGTCCTTCCTTGCCTTCTGCCATCATGCCCAGGACGTTCTGAGGTGGCGCAGGCCACAAGTGACCCTAGCTACCTCAAATGCAGCCACATAGATTTACAAGGCACAAAGTGAAGGCCATGCAGTCCAGGAGGTAGCAGAGACATGACATCATCAGATTGCGCTCCAGGCATGAAAAATTGAGACCTTTTTTTGACAGTTGCTATGGTTCAAGTACGTCCCCTCAAAAATTCAGGTGTTGAAACTTAATGGCCAACGTGACAGTATTAAGAGATGGGGCTTTTAAGAGGTGGTTTGGTGATGAGGGCTTCTCCCCTTGTGAATGGGAAAAGGCTTGATAGAGTTTGTCCCTTTCTGCCTTCCACCTTCCACCATGTGAGGCCACAGCATTCTCGTCTTCCAGAGGATGCGGTGTGTGAGGCACCATCTTGGAGGCAGAGACTGGACCCTCACCAGACAGTGAATCTGCCAGTGACTTGATCTTAGACGTCCCGGCCTACAGAACTGTGAGAAATAAATTTCCGTCCTTTGTAAATTCCCCAGTCTTAGGTATTCTGTTACAGCGACACAAAGTGGACTAAGACGAGAGTCCTCCATAGAAAAAGATCAAGAACTGCATCAGTAGTGAAGAGGCCATTTTTTTTCTTCCCA